TGCTTGTTGTCCTTTCGTAAAGAAGAAGTGGAAATACTAGATTAACTTGATATATTCACTGTTGCATTTCATAATCTCCTCTTGCTTACTTTAGGTTGAACACTCCTTCAGCTACCTGGATATCCAGGGAATCAGCAGCAACAAGCCCACTCAGGTACACACAAACAAAAATAAGCGTTGCATTATTGTGGATTACATTTATGACAGACAAACACACCTGACCACAACTGAATACACACACACACACACACACTAAATACCAAATCACTTCTGTCTGTCATCACCGCCTACATTTTAGGGAGGATAAGGAGGTATATTGAAGACTGATTTATTGGCTAAATGTGTACACCAGTGTTTGGGAGTTGGCATATTCCTTTTTAATACACACAAACAAAATGTACAGTCCTGCAGAGATATTAATTTGAACTTCCTTTTGTTGTCTATTTTCTTTGTGTCAAGATTTAAACTCTGTATCTTCCGTTTCTGCATCATGGTGGTGGTCTCTCAAAACAGTTCAACTTAATAATAATGAATCAATAAGGCTACTTAGTGTCAACTGCACTCACCTGCTCAGTCTGACCACAATGACAGCATGGTAACATTTTATCACCTCAGCAGCACTTTGAGTGCTCATTTTGTGTCGCTTTGCGTGTGGCGCCCCCTGCAGTTGGTGTTGGAGTATGAGCGGGGTCCATGGAACCTCCGGCTGGGCTCAGTGGAGGAAGTGGACGAGGTGATCGCCCACATCGGCAGCTGTCTGCACCGCATCAGCCCCGCCGTCTCACCTGTGTAGGTACCACTCGAGAGCCAGTGAGAGGAAGGAGACAAGGAGCACTACAGGGGCTCTCAGAGGGTCGGACAGAGAGGAAAACTGGCCTTACACTGTCCTTTATATGTTTATGACGAGGCGAGGTAGATTTTAAATGCTGCGAATCAGCAAAAATGACAAAAATGTACTAGTTACAGGTCTTCAAACGTTAAGATTTGCTGCTTTTCTCGCAGTTTTCTGACATTGTATAGACTCATCTATTGATCAAGACAATAACTTGTATATTAATGGATCAGGAAAATGGTTAGGTTAGTTGCAGTCTTAAATAAGGGACTAGGAACCTTTGGAGAAACTTGGTGCGTTTCCGCTGCAGGGACCAGGGTCTAAATTAGGATCCAGGGCATTTCAAACAACAAAGAGCTGAAGGAACCTTTTAGTTCCTGATACTAAAAGTTCCAGGTACTTTGAGAGCAAACGCAGCTATAGTGAATAATGGGCTCCCTGGACATTGGCTCCCAGCTTCTCTTCTCTCTTCTCTGTGTGGATGCAGTATTAACGTTTTTCAGACTTGTTGAGAAGATACTCCAAGTTTCCCTTTTCCCTTTTCGTCATCCCTCTTTCTGTAAGGAAGGAAGGTGATGAGGAAGTTGAGTTTGAAGCCCCCAGAGAGGACGGCGGCCCTCCAGGCCATCTGGGATGAGCAGGGCTCGGCAGATCTGGGACCCTGTGGTAAATCAGCCTCAAAATGTGAAACATACATCCAGTCAAATGTTTAGTGTCTGTGTTTAAATGCTAAACGTTGTTGTGTTGACTCATTGCAGGCGGTTTTTCTCATCAGTACTGGTGTGTGTGTGATTACCTGGGTCTGCCGTACAGAGAGGAGGTCCAATGGGTCGGTGCTGGAAATCATCTGTTTTGTTTGCTGCCTTTTTCTCTTGTATTCATGTACTTTATTCTGTTTCCTTTTTTTGACTAGTAATGACTTTATCTGCTTCTTTTATACACTTTTTCTGATCCGTGCTTATTGTTCTGCCTTTTTCTGCAACAACTTATTTTTATTTACTGTTTTTTTTCTGCTTCTTTTCCTTCTACTTTTTTATTCTCCTGCTTATGTTTCCTTTTTGTTTTTCATCTTTTCTTCTCCTGCTGCTTCTTTTATGTCTGATTTTGTTCCTGCCAAGTTGTACCTTATCTTATCTATCTGCATGTGTTTACCTGCATTTGTGTTTCCACCGTCTCTGTCTTTGCTTCTCTTCTGCTGTTGAGTTTCACTTTGTGTTGTACCTGAACGCACCATCATGCAGCCATTTCCTCTCGTTGTCATCTTCACCTCCTCCAGGATGTGGACACCATCTATCTCACACAGGACACCAAAGAGCTCAACCTGCAGGACTTCGTCCACCTGGAGAACAGGTACGTACACCGCTCAGCACCTTGGGTTCACCGTGTGTAGTTCTTTACGTTGAGGGGAAGGTGAGCATATGAAATACATATAATGTGTTTTTTAACAACTGTCTTATTATCACTTCATAGAATGTAATGTCTGACAGTCGTATTAATAATAATTCTTTGTTTTTTCCCTGTAGGGATCTGGTGGCGATCATCGCAGCTCTAGAACACAACCACTGGTTCACTAAAGTCTCCACCAAAGACTACAAACTGGTAACATTGATACAAACAACTGTACAGTCTTACACTGTTCCAACAATCACCAACCCTGCCGTTTAACTGTCGAACAGAGTTAGATGTGAAACTATTCTGAAACAAAAACAAAAATGTCTAAAAGAAGTGTACTATGACCTCCTTTTACTAAAACAAAAATCACTAACTGTTTTTTTCTTCTTTGAGATCTCATTGAGATAAAGTGAAATGAAAGCCGTGTGTTTGTTTCTGCCTTCCAGCCGACAGATGTGTGTGACCAGATCCTCAGAGTGGTGGCTCGATCCAGTCGGCTAGAAGAGCTGGTGCTGGACAACGCGGGACTGAGAAGGTCAGAGGTCAAATATTAGAATGAATGTCCTGGCCGTCTCTTGTGCGCTGTGTCATTTCCTACTACAAATAGGATTAAATAAACTGTTTGTGACCAGAGTCCATGTCGGATAACAGGTGTGTGCTTGTTGCTTGTTGATTGTGTGTGATGAGAGGTCAGAGGTTATCACCTGCTCACTGACTGTGACATTTTCCTTCTACTCTTTCTCTTCTTCAGTGATTTTGCTCAGAAACTGGCCAGTGCGCTGTCACACAACCCAGCCTCCACGCTACACACACTCAACCTGAGCAACAACTCACTGGAGGACAAAGGTTAAAACACACACACACACACGTGCTTTGGCATGCAAATCTGTTGTAATTCCTCTACTACTCATTTCTATTTGGAGAATTTGCATTACAGTGATCTCTTCTACTTTTAAATGTGGCTTTCTGAAACGTGCAGAAACTCTGTTACTGTGAACTCTCACAGAGGGCTGTCAGCTAAAGTCATGCGCCCTCTGGTGGCCATGTTGGAGCTCTATAAAGTCTCTTAACTGCAATGACTGGATGTGTCTCGGTTACTGCAGGTGTTTCTGCTCTGAGCGCTCAACTCGCCAAACTGCCCTTGGGTCTGAAGCACCTGAACCTCTCCAGGACCTCCATGTCTCCTAAAGGTGAACGCAGAGAAAACAAAGATGAAATAACACTTAATTATTGCCCTGAAGAATGAAGTGACTGTCATTTGTTGCAGGTGTAAACAACCTCTGTCTGGCTCTCTGTAACAACCCGGCCGTCGCCTCCACCCTCACACACCTCGACCTGTCGGGAAACTCGCTCAGAGGCGACGACCTGCAGGTATGCAGCCACCTTCTGTTGATAGACAAACTCACAGTGTATTTAAGCTGTTCAGAAAACGTTGAAAAAAAAAGAAAGATAGACAGCAGTCAAGCTATAATCGAGGCTTTTTCTTTAGTTCTTGAAGAGTTTGGAGATGTGAGGTTTTCTAGGATTTGCTAGGATCTCTAATGTGTGTTTTATTTCTGCACAGAACCTGCACAGCTTCCTGAGTCACCCAAACTGTCTGGAGACTCTGGATGTGTCCAACAGCGACTGCTCTCTGGAGCAGGTAAAAGCAGCTCATACACACTTCACAATTAAAATGGAGGCCTGAATTAAAGACCGTTTTAACTATGGAAACATGTAAAATAAATCAGTTGGTTCCAATAACCAATGAAAGTAGTAAGAAAAGTAAATAATACCATGCTTAAATTCCTCCCAGGGCTGGTCTATACATTCTGTAAGAGCTTTACTGAGTTTAGTTGAGGCTTTTGCAGTTTCAGCCTCTGGTGCTAAAATCAGTTTTCTGTTTTTAGGTGTGTACGTCTCTGCTCAGAGGATCTTTGAAGCATCTTTCTGTCCTCAACATGTCAAAGACCGTCTTCTCTCACAGGTTGGATATTAAACCTACACCCATCCTTCAAACAGTGGACAAATTATAAACTTTTTTAATATTTTTACAGACTACGTTATCTCTGACTTTGGAATGTTCAGTATTCAGTGTTCAGTTTGCTGAGTTGCTTTTTTAAAAATTTGTGTTTAAAGTGCAAAGGCAGATTACTTCTCCGACATACCAACACTCAGCAAATGTTACCATTAAATGTGGTTTAAATACATTAACTAACAGTTTGAAATGTACAGTATTTGTTCTTTGCTCTGAATGTGTTACTGCACTCTAGTGTTGATTGTAACACGTTTCTCCTCTCATTCACACAGGAAGTGTAAAGAAATCCCTTCGCCATTTAAGCAGTTCTTCAGCTGTGCTCAGGCTCTGAGCTCCGTCAGTCTGTCGGGAACCAGACTGCCGGTGGAGGCTCTGAAGTAAGAAAATATCCAATGAGACACACAGCAGTACACTAAAAGAGTGAAAGTCTGTGCTTTATTTTCTCTTGTCGCTACGAGGGAATAATAACAGTTATGTTGCCTTTTTTTCCCGTCAATAACTGGATATATTTATAGCATACAGATATAACAGCAGTTGGCCGACAGCAGAAAGTGTTTCATTGAGAGTGAGAGAGGGCTTCTTTATAGAGTTGTGCATCATTACTCAAACCTGTTCCTACCAGAGTTGTAGGACAGAGAAATCAAAACAATGCAGCCAAAAGACTAGCAGCAATAACTTTTTTCTGCCTTTAGTATTTGAAATATCAAATATCAAGCTTTAAGCAGCGACACTGCTTTCTATAAGCTGTTGTTAAACTGACAGTCTGATGAGTTTCTGGCTTTTCTGTCTGCAGAGCGTTGTTGTTGGGACTCGGCTGCAACCCAAACCTCAGTGACGTGTCTCTGGATCTTAGCTGCTGTGAGGTAGAACTCCCATGAACCTCAGCACACTGTTTAAATACACTGTAACACTGTTTATTTATACAAAGGTACACACTGACATGATTCTTTTATAAGCATATCTGACTCTTTGTTTTCTCTCAGCTGCGTTCGGGGGGCTCCCAGATCTTGGAGGGTTGTGTCGCTGAGATTCCCAACATCACCAGTTTGGACATTTCTGACAACGGTGAGGATATTTTAGATTTGAACCATTTCTGATTGCGTTGTGTTGACTTTGAATCGTGGCCTCTTAATGTCTCTGTGCTGCTTTGCTCAGGTCTGGACATGGATCTGACCACTCTGCTGGTCTGGCTGGCCAAAAACCGCTCCATCAGACACCTTTCACTGGGCAAAAACTTCAACAACATCAAGTCCAAGTGGGTAACAAACAGCAAACAGCAGCAAAATACTTTATAATATATAATATCATATAAAAAATTACAATTGAGCTGGATTGTTTGTTTGTTTGTTTGTTTGTTTTATCAAAGGGTTAGTCATTAATAATCAATGAAACAATCTTAATAACATAATTATTTGGTGCCATGTACATTTTTAATTGAATTACTCAATACATTGGTTTGTCACTTAGTCACATTTTAATTGTCTACTAATCTTTCTCCAGAAATGTGGCTCAGGTCCTGGACAACCTGGTTCATATGATCCAAGAGGAGGAATCGGTGAGTAAAACTATAAACATAACCTTAAATCATTTTCTTTCCTGTCATTACCCATCTCCTTCTTTGGGTCTGCCTGTTCTTCTTCAGTCCCTAATTTAGGTATTTATTTATTACTGATGCATTCACTGGACACTTTGATTAAAATTATCTAATAAAATTCTTTCCCCCCCTGCAGCCGCTGACCTCGCTGTCCCTGGCTGATTCCAAGCTGAAGGCCGACCTCTCCATCGTCCTCAACGCTCTGGGCAGCAACACCTCTCTGACCAAACTGGACATCAGTGGAAATTCCATGGGAGACATGGGGGCCAAGATGCTGGCCAAAGCCCTGCAGATCAACAGCAAACTCAGGTGAGTAAGCAGACAGGATAATCTTGCAGTTAAGGCTCTGTCAGGTCTGTATCAAGTGTTCCATTATAAATATTTATTTTTTATTTTTCATCTGTGTGTCTGCAGGACAATAGTGTGGGACAGAAACAACGTCAGCCCTCAGGGTCTACAGGACGTCGCTGCTGCTTTAGAAAAGTAAGTATGAAGCAGTTTGTGGTGAGGTTACATTTTATTTTAACAAAGTCAGAGAGAGTATAAGCCCTGCCCTGATTCTGCATTAGTATTAAAGGATAAGTTAATTTACTGTTTTCTCTCTCCATCAGGAACTACACCATTCGTTTTATGCCTGTTCCCATCATGGATGCTGCTCAAGCGCTAAAGGCGAGTCCAGAGAAGACAGAGGACGCTTTACTGAAGGTTGTTGTCCTGTTTTTTTAAAATATGGATCAATGTAGATTTTTCAGTTTTGTTAAGAATACTAAAAACGGTGTTAAAATGTTGGAAACTTTAATTGGAGCTTGTTTGTGTGTTTTGTGATGCAGATGGAGCAGTACCTGCTGAGGAACCATGAGACGCGTAAATACCTCCAGGAGCAGGCGTACAGGCTGCAGCAGGGAATCGTCACCACCACCACGCAACAGGTAGGCACAGAAACACACACACACACATACACTGGCAGACCTCTGATTGAGTCAACATATTACTCTTCATTGACTGACCTCTAACCTCTCTGTGATGCAGATGATTGACATGATGTGTGTGAAGGTTCAGGACCATCTGAACTCTCTGAGGTTCACAGAGGCCAACTTGGTCCAGGAGGACATGAAGGTGGCAGAGAACCTCATGAAAGACGCCAGAAACTCCAAGACAGTAAGAAGACATGAGTCATGGAAATAAGACATTTAACTCCTCGATCCACCATCTTCCATAGCTGGCCAACTCAACATGGCTGAGACACTAAAAGAAGTTACTGTCATGCAACTTCATATTCAGAAAGCCTGCTAATTAAAGCAGGATTTAAACAGAAACATCTGGTCTGCATGTTTAACATTGGAACAATACAAGTATTTTTGGCTCAACAAAGCTTTCAGAGATTAAAATGTTACCCACCCTGTACTGATGAAAAGTTTTCAATATGAAGTTTGTTCAAGCAAAATAGAGATTAGGCCACAGCTAAAGCTGAGATGAACTTTGACTTTGTTGCTGTCTTTCTCATTGTGTTTCTTTCCCATAATATATATATATATAATGTAATATATATATATATATAATGTAATGTATGTCTGTAACATATAATGTATCTCACTCTTCCCCCCAGCTGCTCCCCAACCTGTACCACCTGAAGAGTGTGGGGTCCAAGGGAGCGTGTGTTGGAGCCATTCAGGACAAGCTGGAGTCGATGGCTGGAGAGGTGGCTAGGGTAATGGACGAACAGCTGCAGGTACTGAGCTGGCTCCAACAGCTGCCGTTTTACCTCGACACTAACAGTAACATGAAGTCTGAGCGAACATTGTTGGACGTACAGCAGTAGATGTATACTTGTGATTGTCTAAATAACACACATTCAAACTGGAGTGCAATGTGAAGTTTAAACTACATTAACTCGTCCTCCCCAGACAATGATGGTGTCCATGGTGGAAGCTGCTGAGGGTCTGTGTCCTCATGTGATGAAGAGGAGCACCCTTCGCCCGGAGCTACTGAAGGCCGGAGCAGGGAGGATGACCATTCCTCGCAGCTTTATCACCACCACGCTGCTGGAGCAGTCCGGGGTCGACATCATCAACAAGATCAGGTCCGATCTGCTGCGTGTGTTTACAGGGTTAGCTTAGCTTTAGCTTCATCAGGTCTTAGGTTATTGAGTTGTAAGGTCTTGCCCCTGTCTTATGGTTATCAGAAAGTCCATAAATTGTACTTCCAGGAGAACAAGTCCAGTATTTAGACCAGTTACTGGCGCTGATGAGTGATTTCAAGGTGGTAAATGCATGTTATCTCCAGATATCTGTCATGTGCATCCATAACAAATGGATTGTCTGTGACGTCTCTGTGTGCTGATTCTCATTGTACAGACTGAATGTAGGCAAGAGGAGAGGATGAGGAGACCATTCCTACCAAAGGATTTGAGATAATATTGGGCTGTTTGGTGGTCCTAACACAAGTGGAAACATCCACTTTGATGGATTTATGTATTTGGTCAAGTGAGTTTTACACCAGAGGTCTAAAGAAATTGGGTTAGAGACACTCTGATAACTATCTAACAAATGGATCCACCCACAAAAGTAAATAACAGGCTTAAAGCAGCTTCTGTGAACAGACTCAGACAACCAACATGTAGCCCTTTATTGTTGGTTTTGCAACATGTCATTTTGGGTCAGATGGTTTTATTTCTGTGTGTTTTGTTTCTTCTCTTTGAAACAGTGAAGTGAAGCTGAGCATGGCATCGTTTCTGTCTGATCGCATTGTGGATGAGATCCTGGAGTCTCTTTCCAGATCACAGCATACTCTGGTTAGTGTCTGTTTGTCTGTCTGTCGGTCTGTGTTTTCTGTTTTTCTGTGTGTTCATCACTCCTTCCTCCTTCTGTCTCCAGGCCGACCATCTGATCAGGAAGGCTCAGCCTCTGCTGCATCGGGAGCCGCAGATGGAGACAGAGGTTCTGGATGAGGTGGTTCTGCAGCCAAAGAACCACAATCAGGAAGAGAAACAAAGCCATGAGCGGGACCAGAAACATGGGCTGGAGGATATGGACACCTGCACGGTGGGAAACACAAAGCAATACAAACTCATTCACACTGCTTATCAGCCTGTATAAAATGGGGCATGGATAGTCTGAATAGACAGAGGGACAGTGTGGTTGTCATCGCCTCAGCAGCTTTGAAGAGTTGAGCGCACATTACTTCTTCAGTAGAAATTAAGATAAAAACCAGTTTTTTTCTTTTTAGATGACTCCTAAGTCCAAGAGGAAGAGTATTCTGGTCAGGATGCTGCGGCCCGTCTCTGTGGCGTTTGGTGAGTGACACAGTGTGTTAGGCAACTACTGTAACAGCTTTAGACACAATCCAGTTTCTTTACCTGTCTCTATACATACTGTTCCTGCCCTTCATCATTTTCTGTTTAAATTTCTCATATGCTTTTTCTTACATAAAGTTTGCCCTGCTCTCTGCTGTTAACTCTCATTCTAAAGCCAATGGCTTTGGATGTTTTTACATCAAATGTTATGTTTGTTTTACCTTTCTAAACCGATTGTCGGATGAAATGGCGTTGGACCATGACAAAGAATCTTTCTATATATGATGATTGTTAAAGTCATAAATGTCCAGTTGAAAGGTTGTGCAGTAATTCCACACTGCAGTCAAGTTGTCAAGTTGGTAAAAGTCACATGGATTGCCACCAGACTCCCTACCTTTTATAATTGATCTTAAGATATTTGATAATGTTGATGAAAGGAAGGAAAAATAAACAAAAAGCTGAACTAAAGTTTGTCAGAAGATTATTAGCATTATGTCACATCAGACTGTCCCAGGAGTACTGGAGAAATGATTTGTTATTGCGTTTTGGGGATTTAATTGGCTGTACCAGCAAATTACAGGCAACTATACACAGTGCCATCAGTTTCCAATGCCAAATTAACAATGCAGGCCTTACGTGGTGAGTCCGATCTGTCCCCAGCAGCATCACTTCCCCTTAAAATGGTAGGTGGTAAATATCATTGATTGTTAAATTACCAACATGGCTTTGCCTTCCATATACCCAACAGAGATGGAGTTTGACCTGGACAAGGCTCTCGAGGAGGTTCCTATCCATGTTGAGGACCCCCCTCTTCCTCCTCCTCCTACACATCCAGTGGACAGAATGTCGGCCTACTATGGAGACCTCCCCCCTCCTCCTACTCCACCAGTTTGTTTGAGCGAGCTGCCCTCTGTGGAGCACATGACGCTGGAGCATTGCACCAAGTCCCGCCCAAAACCCAAGAAGAGGGCAAAACCCAGCCGACAGCCTGTAGGTCTCTACCAGGGAGCAATCCTTAGATTATCAGTGATACCAATAATTTTTTTCATTAATTTTTGTTTCGATTTTTTGCATGTTTTTTTGTCGTTTGTTCAGTGCTAACATCAGCACCAATTTACCATTCATTTATTCACATTCACCATAAAATCCAAATCTATTAACAGCAAAACTATGAAACTTTGCTAACCTAATTAGTCATGCCATAGATTTTTTTAATAAAAACTTGTTTATTGTTTAATTTTGTGTGAGAAATGTATCGTATTTCAGTGCTATTAATTCTTGGATTCATTATAAAACTCCTTCATTATCAATAGAATATACAGTATCATTACTCCATCATATCACAGTAATACCTTTAAATGTTGAAAAACAAAACCTAAAATGTAGTTGAGTCTTATCTCTCTACCTCTGTTCTCTGTTTTATTCCTGCCTTCCACCTTTTAGCGAGAGGCCACCCACAGTGCGGCACCACAAGAGGCAGAGGAGAGCACCATCATGGGAAAGCTGGACGAGGGCCTGGAGGACTTCTTCTCCAAGAAAGTCATTAAACTCAGTTTCAAGTGAGAGTCATGAATCAGAATTTATTTACAGTCTTCTCAGTATTAATCTACCCATCCTATGATGTAATTTGTATAGAAAACAACTCCCAAATTCAGTCTGATTAAAAACAGTACAGTTGTGTGTCATCAGCATAAAATAGAGACCTGATGTTTTCTCACCATGGGAAGTCCTTTGAGATTTGGCTGGCTTGTAAGGTTGAATAAAAGTATATTGTTTCCTAATTCTGTTGTTATTTTTAATCCTCTCTAGACTTCCTAATGTAAGAGGTTCGTCCTCCAACATGCAGGAAGCAGCAGATAAGAAACGTGAATCCAGGAAGAGCGGTTTCTTTAACCTCATCAAATCCCGGACGTCCCGCTCAGAGAAAAGCCATGGAGCTGCCTCCATCACTCCACCCCACCCTGCCTCCTCCAACATGGCTCCACCCTCTTCGTCTATTAGCTCAGTGACTGAGGAAACGACGCCGACATCCCCCACTCCTCCTGTGAAAAACCCTGGCACTGTGGCGGAGCCCCATCAGGAGGTCCACAGGGCTCAACCCTCCGACCACATGGATTCTGGGATGGAGGCCACTCCGACTGCCGCTGAACATGCTAAGGAGGAGAAGGAAGAGGGGGGTGTGGGAGATGTGGAGAAGAAGGTGAACCTGGAGAAGAAGGAGAATGTGGAGAAAAAGGAGAACCCCCACATCCCCCGTCATATTGGTGTTCCTGTGATGGGCATGGACCTGCTGGCTGAGATGAAGGCCAGACAGGAGAGAATGGCTGTAAAGAAGGTGGGTGGAGTCCACTGTTCAACATTGATAACAGCATTTAATACCATCATCAAGCCAATATATTGGTAACAGTATGCCTTGATACAAGAGTAAAAAACATACAGCAGGATGAGGGCACATTTTAAACAGTAGTAGTCTGGCTAGCTATAGTTGCTATGATTCCTTTCAGTGTCCCAAAGAGTTAAAAAGTGGGTGTTGTCAAGTGATGAAACATTCAGATCAACCATTGTTGTTCATACTTGGACATTTATGATTGATATTCGATTGATAGGAAATCATATATTATAGTGGAAGTCATATAAGGACACATCTGTGCTTTGATTGACCCCTAGTACATCACATGTTTGCTTGTATATATGAAGTTGTGCCTTATCCCCCTGCACTGATTTGATGTATATTACCACAGGCTTTTCAGCTCAGTGATGGAGTTGAAATCATGATAGACCAAATAGGAGTAGTCATATAGATCCTTTTTCCTAAGGTGTTAGTAAGGGACAAACAAAGATAAAAGCGAGGATCACACACATTTAAAGGAGTAAAACAGAGTGTGTATACATACCTACCATACATACATGTAACTGCCATTCCTCATCATCTCTCTCTTTCTCAGATAGATTCACTCACACTCACACTAATCTCTGTCTCTCTTGTTTCAGTCTGAGTCGCCATCCTTGCTGGACAAGGTGGACGGTGACAAAGGTGAGTTTCTTTGATATGACGTCACATGTGGACCTGTGCTATTTTCCACCCACTTGTATTGACAGCGTGAGGTTTGTATGTGACATTTCCACAGTAATTAGTTCACAGCCCTCAGTAATTACACATCAGTATAATTAGTAAGTCAGTAGTAGCTCTTCCTACCTGCCTGTCATCATGACTCCTAAACTGTCTCTGTCATTTTCCTGTAGCCAAGTCAGACGTCCATCAGCAGTCTGTGCCAGCAGACGCCGATGAGTCCAAACCAGAGCCGGCTCCCAGGTCAAAACCACCCAGTGTCACCCCCAAACCGCCCCCACCACATACCACCAAGCCCCCACTGGGGACCCGCACCTCTGGGCCCCTCAGTCCTGCCAGTCCTGCCAGTCCCAGGCCGAGCAGCGCCTACGTCTTCGGTAGGCAATGATTGGGAGAAACGGGGATACAAAAGCCTGGTTGTCAAAGAACAAACGCAGCTCTCACATTTTTTATATCAGCTGTGGAGACTTAGACAGACAGAAGCTTTTACCACAAGCACTAGTTTGATTCTTATTTATGTGTATCTTACTGAGAATCATTTCATTGTTTTACTGATTGTTGCTTCTCAGACGACTCTGCTGAGGCTCCAGCAGGCAGCCCGCCTGCCAAAGGGCCACTTCCTGCTCCTCGCCTGAAGAGGGCGCCTTCAGAGCAGGAGAGAGAGAGCACCAGCAGCAACCCTGCAGGACCCCTGTCTCCACAGGACGGTTAGTATCTCTGTTTGACCTTTATGAACAAGGCTTTAGAAGTAACAGGAGTTTGATATTGTATCGTATTTTAATACACAACAAGAATAAAGAACACATTGCATCTCTGTCACTACTTTCAATTAAAAGCTAAATGCCAAAGAAGTGGCACATTTAAGATTTTGTGCCACTAAACTATTAAAAGTGCCAAAATTTCTGTGAATAATTGATCAGACTTCTATTAAATGAACATAAAATGTTTGTCACAGTGCTTTTTGCAGTGTGTTTAAACAGGACTTATGTCATTTTGGTGCAGCACTTAAAGGAGTGTATAAGATTCAGTGGCGCCTAGCCTTTTGAATACAGCTCAGTCTTTCATGTGTTTTGTATTAATTGTATTAAAAGTTCCAAGAACCATCAGAAAACTCTCCTCTGATGTAATATTTACAGGAAATAATCTGCTCAAGTAATACGTGATATGTTTACTCTTTTTTTCTATTTGCATTATTTCACCCATAATCTATAAGTCAAGCACCCAGAGCACTATGGGGGTGCAGAGAGAGGAGAGTGCACCTGCAGGCACTGAGTGGATGGCAGACAGGCTCATATGTTCTTTCTTAATGATGAAGGTTGCATGACTCAGTGCTCCGTGTGAGCCGGAGCATAGCTGAAAATATAACACTCAATTTAACAGGTGACAACTTGTTTAATGAATGCTTTCAAGGCCATATTTGACGCCTCCACACACCACACACAGTACGTCTGAAGCTAAGGTCCTAGCCTGTACTTGACATGTCCAAGTGTCAGAGTGCGTGTCATTTTGTAGTTTAACACTCGACTTGTGTAATTAATGCTTACAGGAACTCAGTATTTTTCCTTAAAACAGTGTTTCTTCTATGTAATCAAAAAGGCGCATTGTCTTTCACAATTGCCGTGCAAAAGGATGTGTTTTTAAAATCAATGAGACAGGGAGGAAAGGTCATTTACACGTTTTAAGAGGCTTTTTTAAGAGGCACATTTTACACTGACAAAGTGAGACGAAGTGAATGTGTTTTACTAAGACACTGCAGTTACGTCTTCTTTTTACTTCTTACTACATCTTTTTCAGTAAGTGAGCACACAGCATGAATTCTGCTTTAGTGATTAATCCTACTACATAATGTTGATATGAAATTAACAAATAAGTATTTACGTAAGGAAATAGTACAAATTAAGATTGTCAAACTGACGAGACAAACCATTGATGACTGTCAGTTTAGAGTGTTGGGTTAAATATTTCATAATTCATTAATTTCATCATGTATTCTTTGCCGGCAGTTGAGTTTCCTGTGGACGGCGATGCGTTCGAGCCGCCCAGCGATGGTGTTGAACCGGGCATCGGTGGGAGACCGTGGTCGTCTCTGAAGAGGTCAGCAAGTCCTCCGGCTGCAAGGGAGGACGACCGAGAGCGAGCCAAGTCCCTCCCCGCCTACGGTTCGATATTTCATATATTATCTGAAGTCTCCTCTAATGTTTCTGTTCAAGGCCACAGGTTATTTTTTAAAGGGGATGTTAATTCAAATCAACAGATCACAGTTGCACCAGAAGATCCTGGAAGATCGCTCTCATTGTCAACCTTCTGTGTATATTTATTATCGTGTGAAATGCTTTTAAACACTATAACTGTCTGTTTGACTGATGCAAATACATGGCCTCAGAAAAAGACTAAAACTTAAAGTTTTCAGTGTGCACAACTAAACCTACTTCTCCTAGATCCAGGGTCATTTTTGGTTCAAAATGTATTTTTTTTTAGAGTTATATTCTCCATTAGTTTTCCTGTTTTCTAGGTCTAACTTTAGTTGCCCTTGTTCCAATGTCTACCTAGATCAAAATCATCATTTGAAGTGTTCGTAGTTTATTAGTCCAATATTATTTTTTCGAGTTTTAGTTTTAGTGGTTTCAGGGCCTAATTTTACTGTTAGTTTAAGGGTCTTTCTTTAGTTTTCCTTTGATGGTCTTTAATTTCCTAGTCAGACAAGGAAATAGCTTTTGTTGTTTCAGTCCACATGTTTCTTCATCTATATTTTCTCTCCCTGTCTCTCTCCCGCTCTCTCTCTCTACAGTGAGCCCTCCATCTCTGGCAGACTCAGATCTCAGTCCAGCTGAGGAGGAGATTCCCTCTCCGGCCACTGACCTCAAGTCTGACAGCAAATCAGAGGACGAGTCCGACGACACTCCTTCAGTCTGACACCAACGAGAGGTTCACAGTCTCTCAGACCGACTGAACCGTTGGAGGTCAATCACACATGTACAATCAGAAGCAGAGACAGTGGACAATGATTTATTTTTTACTTCTTTACAGTTCCTGGTGAGGCACTCGTTGACAGAGGGGAAAGTATTTTGCACGCGTCAGTGGAGTGTTCTGACCTTGGATCAGTCCCAGCTGTCTGGTCAAATGGAAGCAAAAACAGCTCCATTACTGCCTTTGTCAACAGCTCCAATAGGACCACAAAGAGCAGACCAGATGGGTTTTATTTGGTTCAAAGATGATCTGTAGCTGCTTAGATAACCAGGTCCAGCAATAAAAAGCTCAGTTAGTCCAAAGCACTGAGGAGAATGACTCTCTAAGTAGGTCCAGACTGTGCTGTGGTGTGCAGGTAGACTGCAGCTGGTAGGTCAGGGGCTGCTCCCAACAGCTCTTCTGGAGATAGGGCTCTAAATATAAACATGTTCCAAAGAGGCTTTTTATCCTGCTAACATTTACTCTTTTGTCTTCAAACGGCAAACTGTCCACAAATTATATGATGTCACAATTAGGAGGAGCTGGTAGCCGAGAAATCCTGCAACTGTTTAAAAGAGGAACAACAAGGAAGAGAAACCGAAGAGAGTCCACACTCTCAGCTGCTATAGCCAAAGTTCAGATATCAAAGTGACGTATAGATTCAGACGGAAACTGTTTGTTTTACCAACACTGTTTTAATTTTCACTGCTAATGGAGACAACCTGACCAATTAAAAACTGCTGAGGGTTTTATTCCATTTCAAGGAAACAGATTTGATGACATGCATTGGAATTAACTGTATGTAGAAAAAAAACAGATATTATAATAAGCAATAGGTTTAATTTGATTACATATAATGCAAATATTTTGTTGTATATATCACTAGTCAGGGTTTTGCAGGGTTTATTTGTAACATTCGTTGTGTCTAGTTGCTTTTTCCTGCAGCTTTCAGCTGAATCTCAAGGTCTTCATCAGCAGTGAGTAAACATCCTGATTAAACAAAAGCTTTTTTCCATTGCAGTTAACTCCGAAAAATTATCCTGGCAAAACTGAATTTAGATCAGACATAGAATGGATCACCAGAATTTTTTTTCTAAGTAGCCTCTCAGGGCTTCCGTATGTAACTTTAAAAAAGCATTTCTCTGAAGGGTTTAGATAAGTCCCATTGTTCCTGATGCTGTTTGTCTTGAATCGGAATGTTGTGTCAGCACACATCATGAAATAAGACATTCTGTTCTATCTAATCAGGTTAGATTTAAGGACTCAATGATAGAAACAAAAAATACTGTAACCAAACCGATGGTTGATCTGTAAATACTGTTCATGTCAACATCACGGCAGGAAAACTGTCCCGAAAGGTTCAATATATCCTAACTGGTGCCTTGTACTGTCCAGAAAGGCAAATGATACAGACGCCCCAAATGTAAAGGATATGGTGCTATATCGTCAGTGCACTGTATTTTGAACTTTTTTTGTATCATGAACACGTGCAAGTCATAAACATGGGAATCCTTACTGTCCGTCTTACGTGATGTGAACACGGCAGAACCCTCAGTGGGTGGAGACAACAACAGATATTTCTTTGTGGCTCCACCCACTGAGCTTTAACTCAAGCAGTGAGATAATTTCTGCCAAAAGCTAAACCCTGCTATAAAATACCGTAGTTTCCTTTCCACAGAAAACATTTGGACTTTCTGCCATTACATGTCAAAATGTCCTCTGTGAATATCAGTGTCAGTGTTTATTGCCTCAGATTCATATTTACCATGTAGGTCAGTTATCGACACTGCTGCTGTATCCTCACCATAACACACCGCTTATTGCTGATTTCTGTTAACCATGTACTCCTGCACTTACTGATGTATTATGTATCAATGTGAATATGTAAATATGTACTAACATTCCTATGAGGTTGTGTTTATAAAATAAATGGGGTGTATATCAGTTAAATATTGTATTATGAGCAGAAAATCGGATTTATTATCAATGAAACGTGCTGTTGAATCTGCATGGATTTCCATTTGTCATACATGGTGATGGTTTTTATTTTATTGGGAAATATTTTTGTGATTCTTTTTAAAAAAAAAATCAGCTTTTTTTTTTTTTTTTAAATTGACTTAAATAATGTGTTTTATTGTTTATATGCCAGTGGACCTACAGGCCTGGAAATGTGACATCAAGCTGTCAAATATTTCTGTATTTGTATGTTCATACCAATAAATACTGTTTCACTGTTTAGACTCTCTCTCCCCCTCACTCTGTCACTCTCTCTCTCTCCCTCCCTCCCTCTCTCCCCCCTTCATATACAAGCTGTTGACTCCCTCTTTAGTCTCATTTAGCTGAATTCCAGAGGCGCCTGAAGGTGAAATCAGAATAAATAGAATTTCACTGGATAAAAGATTCTCTCTCTCTCTCTCTCTCTCTCTCTTTCTCTCTCTCTCTCTGAAACTCAACAGTCTGTCTCTTGAAGAAGGTTTTTTTTTCCTTTTCTTTCGGTTTTGTTGTCACCAGCTCGACCTCTGGACTGGTCCTCAGCATCATGGATAGCTCTTTGAACCGCCTGGACGCTGCAGGTTTCTTACAGATCTGGCAACATTTCGACATAGATGGTGAGAAGAGTTTTGATGACTCTGACGTCAGTGTGTTTATCAGTTCATTCAGCTCCTCCAGCATGTAAACTGAGCAAATAATGGCATTTAAAGTGCCTATAAATGTGTCAGATATAAAACCTTGTAATGAATAAGAACACATTATTGCACAATCTGGTTACTAAAGGCTCAGAGAGGACGTTTGACTTCTGGTGATACTGATGGGTGTGCACGGGACTGTATGTAAAAAATATTTCCTCAGAAGAACTGTAAGTCTGCCCTCCCAGTATTTGTTTGGGGTTTTAATGATATGATTTAAGCAGCCAGTCCTGCAAAGGGATAAATAGTTTTTTATTAGATCCCAGAATCCCCCTCAGAAGGTGGAGGGCCAAGAGTGAACTTTTAGTTTCAATGACATAATGTGATTTATGAGATATGAAGTGTGTGAGAGAGAGACAACAGAGGCATTTTAAAGCCTCTGAGGTAGGTTTGGGGGTTTTTGTCTCCTGGTATTTGCTCCAGTTTCAATCATGTTGTAGCAGTTTATATTATGTTTGGATAATTATGCTCTTTGGGACCAGACACAAGTGTTTCTAAGCAACAACAAGAGTAGAATTGACCACAACAAAGAATTAATTAACAATTTATTCTGCAAGAACTGTATACAGTTTCCAGTGGTGATTAAGTGCATTTAGTACTGTACTTAAATACAATTTTTGTACAAGTACTTTTTCTGCTACCTTATACTTCTACACCACTGTTTGACAGCTAGTTATATTGCAGATTCAGATTAATAATACAAAATATACAATAAACTATAGAATTATGATGGGTTGTGACAGATTAATATAAGACTTTATTGATCTTTAGGTTGAAAGTTACCCAGCAATATATATGTAATTAAAATAAGTTCCACTTTTACCAGCTGAATTATTACAGTGATGCGCGTTTCAACAGGATAATGCATCAATTGTTATAATATAGTAATATAATATATATTGAAATTGGATATAATACTTAATATAATACTTTTGTAACTTTAAGTATATTTTGAGGCTAATACTTTTTTTACTTATACATAAAGCAGCTAAAAAGAACTTTGATTTTGTGTTAATTTTGGAGCCCCCTGTGGACAAAAGTGGTAATGTATCTACAGCCTGGTTTTATTGATTTCGAGGGGAATCCGACAGAATCCAACCCTCTGGCAGGCATTAAGAAAAACATATGAATTAGTATTTCTACCCTGTGGTATTATTACTTTTACTTGTAAGTAAATCTGAGTACTTCATCCACTGTGTGTTGTTGCCTGGTTGCTATTTTGTAGCTTCTCTTGCTAGTGAGAAGTGAAACAACCGGTGCTGGATTATAAACATTTTTTAACTATTACATTTTTTTCAGTTGTGAAAAAATGTGCAACTTTCAAATTCTTAATTTTTATTTGGCTAAAGGTTGTCTGTGCAAGCAATTTCACTTTGTGGTAATTTCACTGAAGTATAACAACTTCTATTCTATTATATTCTGGTAAGTTGCTGTATCTAGTTGATCTGACAGTTTGCCTGGTTGTGTTTTTAGATAACGGTTACATCAAGGGGAAGGAGCTGGACAGCTTCTTCCAACACATGCTGGGGAAATTTGGGATGAAGGTAAAGAGCTAAAACATGAAGCTGTATTTTAAGTTTCTCATTTTTATACCCACTTCATGATAAAATGATAAATATAGAACTTCTTCAGTGGCGAAAAAATAAAAGAAGGAAGCCGACACCTTCACTTTTCAGGTTAATATTTTTAGCCTTTTAGTTTTTATGTGATCAGTGGATGTTATTTTCTTGGTACAAGTTTCTTTTTGTAGGGACATTAGACAGTTTGTAGTGATATATCTATATAACAGTGTGTTGCTCTCTGCCACAGTGTTTTATCTAATACTACCACCAGGGGGCAACAAAGTCAGAAAGCATCAACATGTCCATGGTGGCTTTAAGTATTGAACTAAACAGACGCATCCAGTCATCATTCAGTTTTTCAGATACTGCCTGAGTACGAAGGAAATCACCACTACATTAAAGTGGTCATGTCATGTTGTTTTCAGAGGGAGGAGATAACTGAAGACAAAATCAGAAGACTGAGAGAAAGATTCATGTCTGCTCATGAAACCACAGCTGACGGACGTCTGCAGATAACAGAGGTAGAATTATATTATTATTAAATATTATTTCAGCGGTTACTGGGTTTTTAGCAAAGCACTCCTATCATTCAATGGTATCATATTATATCATTATATTATAGATATTTTCAGACTGCAATCCTCATAAATGTTGGGTAATGACATTTCTTTGGGAAGATTCTGTCCAGGTCATAAAGATGGTTTAAATGTTGTACCGTATTCACTCCTGCAGGTTGTATTGTCTTAGTTATTGTACATCTAACACAGACTTTACATACTGACATTTACAGGTTTGCCCTTTAAACCGCTTAACTGAGTTAATGAGGAACTGGGTGTAAATTAAAACTGTAAAACCTGTAACCTGTAAAGTATATTTTTATATGGACAACGTCTTTAGTTACAGTGGACGTAAACGTTCTTCTTCCAGCTGGCGACCATGATGCTGCCGGAGGATGAAAACTTCCTGCTTCTGTTTCGCAGAGAGACGCCGCTGGACAACAGCGTGGAGTTCATGAGGGTGAGGGTCAAAGGTCAACAAATAATGCAGAGGTGAATGAAGGAGGACTGTGGACGTTCAGGGAATATAAAAAAGCACAATAAGCGTTTGAATTGAAGTCAAGCTGCAGAAGGATTTATTAACAGTGCTTTTTCCTATTATGACCACCAACATGCAAATTTTTTATTTATTATAGCCTTCATTTATTATTCAACTTCCACTTGTACAAAAGATTAGTATCATTGGTAAAAAAAAAAAAACCTGTGTTCACACTAATATTTCATGTCAAAATAGCTGCTGTGAAAAAGGTCTATTGTGCATTAACTTTGTCCAGTTTGGATATTGCATGATCTTCTAGGACTGCCTTCAGGACAAACTTTACTTTTTTAAGAGAACAGAAAAGTAGTAAAATGGTGACGAACACTGCAGCAGCTACACTCAGACTTTATTTTCTGTGATTCTTTTCTATATCTTGTTTGTGTAGATCTGGAGAAACTATGACACAGACAGCAGCGGCTACATCTCAGCGATTGAGCTCAAGGTAACTGCTGAGTTTGGATGTGTGCACTGTAGCAGAGCCGACAAAGAAAATTCTACCTGTAATGAAGATAAAACAATGTGTCACCACAAATCAGAACAACCATCTAAAGTGAGTGGACTCAACGTCATAACAGAACAAAAACTGACTTACAAAGTAAGAGGAATGTCTTTAGTTTGAGTCTGTCTTTGTGAATTTGGTCAAATTTAAATTTAAATGCAACAAGCATGAGGAGGCACTGCTAAGTCATATTATATACAACATATTATAACAAAAACACGTGAAACTATACAAAAACTTAAACTGAAATGTGCACACACACTCCGGAAACTGAAACTAAAGTGAATTGAAAACAAAAAATAAAAAAATTAAAGAATAAAAACTACTGCAAAACTACAGCCACAGCACGAGAAGCAATTAATAATTAATTATCTTTTTATTTTTTACACTGTACAACTCGGAACACGAGTGGAAAATGAACAGTAGCTATAAACTCTTTGCGCTGCACATTGGTTTCGTGCTTTAAATATGTTGAATTGCATCGTCCCCAACAAACTAATACATTCAAATTTTATGATAGCAGTTTTAGTTGAGTGTCCCTGAGGTGTGTTTTTTTGTCCCTTCAGGGCTTCCTCCAGGACCTCTTCCTCCAACACAGGAAGTCCATTACCCCTGACAAACTGGAGGAGTACACGGACACCATGGTAACAGGCAGCTGTTCAGATATTAGCACTGCTGGCGTCTTCTTGTCATCCGTTGTTAATTCGTCCATTCTGACTTGTTTCCCCTGCAGATGAAGATGTTTGATAAAAACAGGGATGGAAGACTGGACTTAAATGACCTGGCCAGGTACTGTTGAACTGTGTCATGTGACCAGGAGGAGAGTCATTAGGATAGCTGATCTTCTCATGGCTGTGGAATCAGAAAAAATACAGCATCAGATATCATTTAAAATGAGGATAATTCTTCAAATCTTTTTTGTTGTCTGAAGGATCTTGGCCCTGAAAGAAAACTTCTTACTAAAGTTTAAGATGGACGTAAGTCTGAAGAGTTTATTGAGATGTTTTTTAATTCTATATTAAAATGTTTTTTTGATTTTTTCTTGAGAAAACAAACCTCGATTTTCCTATTTATGCCTGAAGTGGATGTTAACAGTACATGTTCATTAAAGTCTTGTGTGAATATTAATGTTTCATCACTTTATTTGTTATATTTGGTGTCAGGCTTGCAGTCAAGAGGACAGGAAGAGAGACTTTGAGAAGATATTTGCTCACTATGATGTTGTAAGTCTGAATTCAGATTGTTGTTCTCGTTCACTCTCTAACGTTTTTGTTATCTACCACTTTTACCCATCATGCTGTGGAAAAGAATTCTCCTTTGACATTACAAACAAAAAGCGTAATAGAGCTTACATTGGATTTAGCAGGACCATGATTTGCGGAGCTCGTTCAGATCACGAATAAAGAAGAGCATCAACTTTGTCATTTATTAATTGTGATTTGGTCTTTTGTTACCATCAGTTTAATACACAGTGTCAGTGTAGCTTTCTGATCTGCTTAAACTGCTGGAACTTCTCTTACACCTGCATGCAGATAAGCATGCATGTATAAAAAAACACTGATAGAATATACGATATAAAATTGAAGTTTATGAGCTGTGCTTACACAGAGACGTTTATGAACAGCTGTGATTTTCATATCTCTGGATAATTGCAAGGGATTATTCACTCTCTCTCTCTCTGTGTGT